ATTTTCTAACTTCTTTATGCCTCGGTGAATTCGTAATTAAACTGTTTAGTAAGCTACATGAGGCAAAAAATTTCCTGGCTCCGCCACTGCTCAGTGTGCTCCGTATTATGTAGTCAGGACTACCACCCGTCTGGACCAGAAACAAACACGACTGCTATTGGATCACTTGTTGCACTCCGAAAAAGAACTAGTAAGTATCCTGCTATATCTAGTCCTTATGTGGCAATGCCCATTTGGGTGTAAAACTTACCAAGATCGATACAGAAGCTGCCTGCAGGAGGAGAACATTAAACACCTGTTAGATCAGTACATTACCGATAAGTCAATGACTTGATAATTTGGGGATTATTCGACGAATGTTCTCATTTAGGAATATCACTAAGCTATATCACGACTGGCGAGTACTATACATCAACTTTGATGTTTCATGATGGTGCAGTAATTTCCGCCACGAGACTGTGGAACCAATCAGTAAAGAAGTAGCTGATGCACTGTTCGGAGTCAAGTAATTTTTTGCCAAGACCCAGAAAGCATATGAGAAAAGTTTCTTTTATCTTCCAGATCAGTCTGGAACATATCACTGGGAGGGGCAACAAGGAGGAATTGCAGGATTTAATCAGTACACCTGGATGCTTGCATATATTCTACAAAAGCGTCATGCATTGAGTGAGTTCCACCTCCATTTCCATGTGATGGTATATGGAGATGACTACAAAGCGGCACTCTTAATCCCTCCGGACCAAGGCACAGTTGACATTAAGGAGTTAAAAAGACGAGTTGTGCGGGTTGTGGGTGAGACGGCTCGATATGACTTTGGTCAGCAGTTAAAGTATTATGATTCCTATGGATCCGAAGCGTACATCAGCTTTTGTAAGAATGCATCTGTTAAGGGTGTTGAAATACCTCAAGGGGTACGGAAAATTCAGAAGTGTCATGGTGCCACAAACGCCTTCTTACCTACCTTAGATGATTATGTTGGTTCAGCATTCAGTAATGCGCATTCTGCAGCCCGCACCCTTCCTGTGTGTTTTCCTCCCTACATGGTGGCACTATTCTGGACTTACCATCACCTGGTAGGCCTAATTTACCAACAATAAACTGTAAACTCAAAATTCTTTGATAAGTTTTATTGTGTTGTGGCAAGAGAAGACAGGAGATGCATTTTTTCGTCTGTGAAGGAACGGGACATCTTTATTATTACAGAAAAAAGGGAAAAACAATATCCAGTTGCCTCTAAGACCCACACAACCTTCCCAGAACTCTGGCAGGAAGAAAATCATCTGCCCTGAGAATTCTGATTGACCGCTACAGTGTAACACTAATAGGTAATACATAAACATTTGCTATGCAGCTTTGGGTGGGTGTCTCCTGGTTGTCGTTCAGTGGTAATCAGGTTTCTCATTTTAGAGCCAATTGCCAAATAGGTTTTAGATTTAGTTTTTGTTCATAAACTTTTACCCTTCATTTTGAGAACATCATCATAAACAGGGGGAAAAAAGAGTGTTGGCGGACATAGTGGAGGGAAACCTTGTTTGACTTATGTTCAAAAGGAATTACATTGTTTGGGACTGTAACCAAATTATATTAATAAACATTGGCAATTATTGTCATCACTGAGAATGCATCCAAACGAATATCAATATAGCAATGACACATCCATCCATCCATTTTCTGTACCTGTTTGTCCCATTCAGGGTCACGGTGGGTCTGGAGACTATCCAGAATCTAGGGCACAAGGCCCATCACAATATTTTATTTAAAATACATAATGACAGAAAATACATAACGTCGTAATACACACATTTTTTGTAGTGTTTCATGTAAACGTAACAGCACTGACCAAAAACATGGGGACAGTTGTAAAAAACTGCTTTTTTGTAGAAATTTGTATAATTTTCATGTCTTAAGTGATGATACTTTATATTTATAGTAATGGTGTTTCTTTTAGATTAAAGTTTTTTATCATAACAAAACTATTGTTATGTTCCGTGTTGGGCGATCAAGCAGAAAGCGGGGAATCACCACACGGGCAGACAGAGATCCAGAAAGACTGGGTTTTAATCGGGAAAAGCACAAGCAACACTAACCACATGGTACAAATGTCAATGACAGATCTGGGAAGCAGAGGAAGACGTGGACTGATATACACAAGACTAGCCAAAATAACAGGACACAGGTGATCACAATCGGCACACACGAGGATCGTACGAGCAGGTCATGACAACTATGAAGAATGCAGCCCAATTTGGCTGGGGACAGTCCATTTTTCAGGATTTGTAATTTTCAAAAGTATTAATAAAGAAAAAAACATCTGAGAATCTAATGAATGACATATTCTTTTATAGAAACATTCACAGAAATGAAGCATCAAGTCAGTCTTAGACTTTTTAGGATTATACAAGTTTTATTCACTGTAACAATCCAGGACATATAATGCAATCCAGGACATATAATGCACATTTCATGTCCCGTCTATAAAATTGATGTTCCTGGCAGTTTCCTGATGATCACAAAGAAAGACTGGACCAAGCCTGGTAGGGTTCTTTTTAGCAGATGCCTGATCTATTAAAAACAATACAGAGGTAATTTAAATCAATGTACACTACCTACACTCTGTTATGCCAAATTTCACTTACAACGACGTGAATTAACAATTTAGGTAATGAAATATCTATTTAGATACCTAATTAGAAAAACCTAATTAGATATCTAAATAGGAACTTAATTAGAAAGAGCCATCTTGATTAACAAAATTCTCACACCTGTTTAACGTCAGACATTAGTTATATTAGTAGAACAGCTCTCATTCGAGTCTCATTAAATCTGTTATTGCAAGTTACTTTTACTTAAAACTTAAAATACACTTCTACTAAATTAAAATATACTACTTTCATGAATTCAAAAGGGGAGAAATTGTTTAACACAATTAATTTGATTATAACTATTAACATTTTTTTTGAAGGTTTTATACTGTACAACTGTACGGGTAACAATATCAGAAAGTGAAACAAATATACCAAACAGACTATAAGTAATTTCTAACTTCCAAGAAAAGGGTCATG